CCCCCCCGCCTCATGGGAAGTCTTTTATCCCTGTCAGCCTTTGCTCCCCCCTCTTTCCCTCCCCCCCCCCCGCGCCGCCATAACTACGCAGCTCCCTCTTTTCTTTGGGTTGAGGCACTGAAGGACAAACACACATTATCTCTCTGTTTCTCTCTCTCGGTGGCCTTTCCTTTTCTGGGCTTGATTTCCCAAGGGATGCGGGTAGAAAGAGTAGCCCTCCTCGGGGTGCCCCCCTGGTGGTGCGTCTGCCCCCTCAGCAAGTACATATAAATATAAAACCATAAATATAGATATAAACTATATATATGCATAACTAAAGGGGGCTGGTCCCTTTATTTTATATATACTAAATAAAGGAACCAGCCCCCTTTAGTTCCACTGCCTACATCCGAGTAGTGTAGTTTCTCCTGTGAGTTCTTGAGGGGAAAAAAGGTGCTAGTCTAAACCTTCCTCCCTTGAGGCTGGGCGGTTAAGAGCTCAGCCACCTTTTCCATGCTGGAGGTGTTTTCTCTGCTGCATCATCAGGTAAGCCGGTGCCAGAGCTTACTGGGGCACAGATTGCAACTGGTGGCACCTTGGCAACTGGTGGTGCAAGAAGAACGGGTTTCTCTGTGTGGCGCTCCAGCTTCCCGAGAGACAAGGGGCTCTTCCGGTTATGCAGGTGGCCCAGGATGAGACAGTCACCAAGCCAGCTCCTTGCCTTTTGAAAACTTCCACAGTCAGATGATGAATTTGTCTCCTCTCTTTTGGCATCCTCCAGATGTATTGGACTGCAATTCCCAGAAGCCCCCAGACTGCAGGGCTAACAGGAAGTTGTAGTCCATCAGTAGATGGAGTGTACTAGCATTGTGAATCTTGTATATATCTCACTGAGATGATACTTGTGGCATAAATAGTACAGTATGGAGGAGCATATCAGCTTCTATTTGCCTGTATGCACCTACAGACCATGAGATATTTAATCCATGAGACTGACAAGATACTTCTTTGCAAATGGCAGTTCCTGGACTTGGACAAACAGGTGTTGGACACTTTCCTTTCATGGAGCCTTGATCCTCTTTTAGAAATACATTGACTCTTGTGAAGGTACATAGGCCTTCCTCTTTGTTAGTACAAAATTAATAAATTATCCACATATATCTCTAAATATATTTTTATTTGACAGCCCTTTTCTTACTTTAATATTACATGTCAATTTATCATTAATAGCTATGTTCCACATTTCTTTATACCATTCATTTCATTGAGGATCATGCTTAAGACCAGAATGATTTGCCGCTTCCTGCAGATCTGTTCCAGGTGCTTCCTTGAAGGAAAGTCAATTTTCATAAAGTTCTTCACACATTAAATTAGGTGCATCAATGCTTCCTCAGAGTGGCTACAAACAAGTGGGCATTTCTGTATGGCATATAGTAATACTCTATGCGTGTCTTAAAACATTTGTCTTGGGATATAAATGTGTTGTTTAATCATACATGTTCTGTGGCTCTTTTTTGTGGGAGTTCATGGTGATCTAATGGATTGGCCTGTTGCAATAAAGGATAAAGGTTTGGCTGAGAATGATTTGCAAAATTGACAGACCAGAGATTTGAACTTAGCTAGATCTGGTCCAAACCTGCATATGATTTGCAAAAAAATATTCCCATTATAAATAGTCCCAGAATGCTAGGGGTTTTTTTGTCCTCTGTTAAAAAAAGGGTATGAGGAGTGTTACATTTTTCATTTTTTTATTTAACAGCTGACAATATTTGTTGTATGAGAGCTGTGAAATGAGATGCCTGCTTCTGTTCATTTTTTTACTCTGTTTCTACACATCTTAACTTTGACATTCCTGTGCTTGGCGTTATACCTTCCGCTCGGGCTTTTTATTTTATTTTTCCTTTATGTTTCAATAGGTGCATTTTCTCTCTATAGGTAACTTGCGGTCCATGTTGAAAATATACATGACCAGCCTTCCAGATCTTTTTCTTGCTTCAATCATCTTTGCTACTGGTCCCTCCAATCCCCATGTTTTTATTGCAGCAGGATCTTAATGAAACGGACCTAACAGAGTTCTTGCAGGGACATTTCCTGTGGGTAAAATTGGCTTCCTTGGTCAGCCTGACTTCTTTCTATGGCCTTAACCCTTTTTCTTCCTTTGCAGCGCAGTCCTTTGGCACGTTTTCTCAGAAGTAAGATTTATTGTTCTTGGTGCACTTTGCTGTCACACTAGTGTGCACAGTGAAGCAACATTAATTGCTTGCTCCCCACCCATTCCACCGGCCCCTGCTGATCAAAATCCAAACATCTTAATAAGCTTTCACTCCCTTGTGCTAATTCTCGTTAGAGATGGTCACGAACCAGAAAAACGATGAATTGGGCTGGTTCACCGAGAACCACGAACTACCATTCAATCCCCAGAAAAACAAACTGGTTTGCAGTTTGTTTTTCCAGTTCATGCCTGATGGGAGGAGAACCGACCACCTCCACCTGCCTGGTCCCTTTCTTGCTGCCCCCATCGCCTTCCTACCTGGTCTTGTTGCCTTCTCTACCGCCACCCTCCTCAGAGACAGCAGTCCAGCTTCTTCTTCTTCTTATTTATTTGATTTATACCCCGCCTATCTGGGCGACTCAACCACTCTAGCTTCCCTTCCAGCAGCTGGGCCGCCTGTCTCTGTGCATGCCTATCGGCTGATAGGAAGACACATGTGCAGACACGGTGGCCTGGCTTCCCTTCCTCAAAAGGAAGCCAGGCCAGCTGTCTTGGGCCTGCCCATGCCTGTCGACGGATATAGGCAGAGACGTCAGGCCTGGCTCCTGGAAGGGAAGCCAGGCCCCTCTCTCTGAGGATGGCGGCGACAGGACTGGGAAGAGGAGGAGGTGTCATGACCAGGTAGAGAGGGGATGGAGGCCGCATATAGGGCATCCGTTTTGTGAATGCAAAACGAGAGCACAGAAGAAAGAAAAGAAGAACTCAGTGCTTTGTATCAGCAAAACAGGTGGCACAAACCAAACCATGATCCAGATGGTTTTGGTTTTTTTTTTTTTTTTTTTTTTTTGGTTCAGCGTTTGGTTTGTGGCTAACTCTAATTCTCATCTTTGTCTATCCTTTCTTGTCTCCTTATACCTACACGCTTCATATTTTTTAGACCTCCTTTGTTGGAAGAAGTGAGATTTATTTTTTTTCCATTTCTTAAATCTCTTTTGATCCATTGTTCTGTTTAGGTTACTGTAGACTTTATTCTACTTGGATATTCTTTTCCCTATTGCTTTTAGCATAAACCTGTTATATTGGTGTCTCTTCCTTCCAAGTTTCTTTATCTTCAGTTAAACTTATTTAACTTGCAATTTAGTTTGTTACTTAACTTTAACTTCTTGTTTTACTTGATTTACCTTGTGGGCAGGGCCCTTCTTGGCCTGTGTTTTTCCATGCCACCGTACACCACAGGTGTGAGTGTCTTCTGCACCCAGTATTTTGAGATTTGATAAGACTGTTTGAGCTGTGCTAACTCCTCAACCATGGAAACAAATGTTTGCTGCTGATTTATGACACCAGCCGTGGAACAACCAGGAGTTTAAGGGAATGTTATCATCTTCATTTGTGCCTCCACGTGTTCCTGTGACAGGTTTCATTGAAGGATCAGAGGGAATGCTGGAGAACAGCCCAATTTCTTAGGCAAGATATTTAAACAAGTTTTCTGTATTATTCCACTATCGACACGGGTGGGTGAAACACGAGAGGTGCCGTTGACTAATTAAAGGTTGCGTTCCTTCCCCTTTGGGTGACACTAGGTAGGGGTACCATCTCTCAAATGTGGCTGTAAATCACTTCTTTTCAGATTGCTTTGGCCAGTTTCTATGAAGACGGAGGTGAGGAAGACATCATTACACTTCCCCAACCAGCTGCCAGCTCGGTTACTAGAGGCACAGCACCAAGGTGAGATCAAACTGGCCTGGTTTTGGGCATGCCCATCTTAAAGCTAGTATGTAAATTCTAGTGTGTTCTTTCCACAAGAAAAAATTGTGAAATACAGCTCTGGATCGAAAGTCCCACAAATACCCCGTGGGAGATCAGTAGCATTCCTAGAACTGCACTGTACCAGATTTTGGGCTTCTGGGTCAGCATTGGTGAGACTTATGAAGGAGAGGGATCCCTGTCCTATCCGTGTTGTGCTTGGTAATATGACAGTGAATTTCTAGGAGAGTTTTAAAAAATAGCACCATCTCTTTTGTTTTCAGTACAGTAGTAAATCTGAACTCTGTGTGTGTTTGTGTTTTGGGAGTCAGATGAGTTGTGCTTCAATCTTTATTGGATGTACAGTATTAAGCAGTGGAACCAATGGCTCGCACGTCCAAGCTCGCAGGTTCTGTCCCTCATGTTTCATATTAGAGAATTGTTGAATTCAGGAAAGACTCCTGCCTGAGACCCTGGAGTTGCTGCTGATGCTAGCCAGAGTAGATCAAACTGGACTTGGTGGAACTGTCGTCTTGGATGACTCAGCAGGGACAGCAGCAATAGACGTAGCTGCTGAGTCGGCGCCCTATGACATTGGTAGCTATTGTCTCTGTTTCACTTAGTGAGGAGGTATTGAGACGTTTGAATGTTAAGCTGAGGAAAAAACAAGAAACTAAAAAAATTAGGTGTCATAATGCCAGCCACAAAAAGTACCAGATCAGACTCTGTTGCTGAAGCTGGACCAAGCAGTTTCTTTGTCCAGTCACTGAGATGGATCTTTGCTTTGCTCAATGGCCCATCGCTTGTAGTGTGTCTGCATTTCATTTTTGCAGGATTGATGAAAGGGAGAACTGATGGGGGAGGGCCTGTTTTCAGTGAGTTAAGCATCCAGTTGAGAAGCCGGAGATTGGAAGTTAAGATAGCTCATTGTATTTGCTAGAGGGTGGAAAGACATTTGTGACAAGAGGAGAAAGTGAACGGTCGTCTTGGTTGAGTTGTTGAAGCCAGCTGGTTTCCAGCTGTCTGCAGTGTAAAAATCCAGGGGCAGGGAAGCCTTTATCCTCCGTGACTGGATTCCCAAACGGGAAGAGCTGGTTTCTTCCGTAGTCTGGTGGTGTACTTCACAGTATCTCTTGCTGTCCCCAAAATGAGCAAAGTGCTGCCCCGGGAACAGGTGGTGGTGGTGGTTGGTCTTTATCAGAGGGTATGACCAGAGCATATAGAAATGAGCTATCCTTCCCCCCACCCAGAAATTCCTATAAGACGGGAGCCCTCCCTCTACCCAAGGATCCAGATACAGCAGCCAGCTTTTCTGCAGCTGTGTTTGATGAGAACAGGTCACATTCTGGGTCAAACATGCTTGTTTTCCTGCCTGGTAGGTGTCCTGCTTCTTTTTACTCCATTTGCCTTGGTGCTTAGTCCTGTGGTTGCAATGGTAAGAGGAAAGAGGGCTGGAATGCCCCACAGATCACATTGTACTCAGAGTGGCCACTTCCGTGCCTTATTCCTGGCAGGTCCCTCTTCTCTACTCAGATGTAAACCTTGTATACAGCAAGATGAAGTTGCAGTTCTCCCCAATGACTGCATTGTGGCAGAATTCTGTTGTGCTGATGAGGTCCTGAGTTTCGTTTTGTTTGTATTGTTTTCTTTACACAATAGGAGGCTAGTCTGGGCCTTGGAAGACCTTAGGAGGGTTGCCTGGTTTGGGGGAAAGAAATAACAGTGCCCTGGGAGCAACCAGATGTGCCCGACGTTTTTCTTTTGTCTCTCCAGTGACCACAGGGTGACATCATTCCGAGACCTTGTCCATGCTCAGGAAGAGGAGGAGGAAGAGGAAGAAGGACAAAGGTGGGTTCTTGGCTAAATGCCTGACTTCCTTCCTTTCTTCCTTACGAGGAGAGCAAAGGAGGAGCAGAAAGCTCTGTGTTTGTAGAAGTCTCTCTGGAAAGATTTGCAGGCTGAGGCTGCTGAAGTAACGTCTGTGTTGGGCAGAGGCCCCCTCTGCCGAAGCAGCTGTCAGAGTCACGCTCTAGAAAGTCGTGACCTTCTCCTTCCTTTGTTCAAGGCACATTCCTGTCAGGCCTTGCATGCTAAGTCACTGCGCTCTTCTTCTTCAAATGAGTAAGCAGTGGTAGTTTATAGGAAAATAGGTATTCTGCTTTAAGAAAACTGTGCCGTTCTGTAGCCTTTGTGAATTATACACATATCTTTAGCAAAAAAAGGGAAAAATATTTGTGGATTGTAACCTGAGAATGTCTGGGGTGTGCAAGGAAGCGGATTGTGATCCAGAAAAGCTCATGCTTGTATCAAGCCGCTATCCTTAGAGGAACCACAAGCTGGTTTCTTTTTTCTTATGCTCAGACAGATGAGCTTGATGACCTCTTTGAAAGCTGCCGCGGTGCACTCATTTGTTTAGAGTTTTGTTTTAAGCTTGAATAACTTATTCTCTCCTATGTCGTGCTTGCATAACTTTTTCTGGTTTTGCTCATTGAGAGGGGTAGCCAGAGATGCATCTCCTCCCTGTGGATCACTGGGTAAGGTTTGGGTCAATGATCCCACCATTAATGGGGACGGAGGTTCTCTGAGGTTCCACTGCGGTTCTGTCAAGTCACTTGTTGCAGGGATCAGCACCACTGGGAATCGGGTCTGGAAGGGCTCTGAATGTGATCCCTCCAAGTTGCCCACCCTCTTAGCAACCTGCATAAAATCCAGGTTGTTCACCTTCATTCAGGCCATAAAGGTTTAGAAAAGTGGAGCATCGTTTTCAGAATACTCCTATGGCAGGCAAGAGTAATGAGAAGGAGCATTTTCATATTGCTCAAAATTGGAGACTTTAGAGCACTCAAACTTTTGATATATCTTTTCTTATAACTTTTACCAATATGTAAGCAAGGAAGTTAATATTGTCCCTGTATTATAAGTGGTGGAATGGTTGTGGCTGAAAGCCGGGGTGGGTGGGGGGGGAGAGCTTGCTGAAAGCCGCTTGGTGAGAAAGCGTTTGTGAGAAAGGAGTCGTTTGAAGCAGAGGCCTCTTGACCCCTAGCTCCGTCTTGTGCTTGCAGTATTGCTGTAGCTTTCCCTGCAACGTTAACACTCTCTGGTATTAATCAAGAGGATCAGTGTTCTGCCAGAAACAGATAAAGCTCCTCTGTTGTCTGATGGCCACCGTAATTGTCTGGTCCCATGACTCTTGCCTGGTGGGCCTTTCCTTACAATGTTGACATGCAAACTTCATGAATGCTTGTGAAGCAAGCATATCAGATGTGCACACGAAAGCCGTAAGTGTGGCAGTTGTGGGTGCGTTCTGGTGGAGGTGCTGCCCAACCTGTTCGGTAAAGCGGCCCCAGCGTCATCACGTAGGTCTCTTGTCTTCTGTTCAGATTTTATGCCGGAGGTTCGGAGCGAAGCGGCCAGCAGATTGTTGGTCCTCCGAGGAAGAAGAGTCCCAATGAGCTGGTGGAGGATCTGTTCCGGGGAGCAAAAGAGCACGGGGCAGTAGCGGTGGAGAGAACAGCGAAGAGCCCTGGAGAAGGCAGCCGGCCAAAAGTGAGCACCGGCCGTGGGCCTGCTTAGATCTGTCCACCTATGTGAGAATGAAAGCGTGTGAAAGGATTTGGAGCCGGGGGGGACAGCAGAAAAAAATACAGTAGGCAGGGATGGGTTCAGGAGGTTCTGGTCTGTCTCACCAGCTCACCGTCGGCAGGTTTATCTCTCCAACCATCAAAGATAAAGAGCTGGGTTTTTCCTGTTTATGGCTTAAGATTTTTTTTAAGACAGTATTTAAAGGCACTTAAGGTTTTCCTGTTTATGGCTTAAGATTTTTTTTTAAGACAGTATTTAAAGGGACTTAAGGGTAGGTGGTGGAGCTGTGGGCTAAACCGCAGAAGCCTGTGCTGCAGGGTTAGAAGACCAGCAGTTGTAAGATTGAATCCATGCGACAGAGTGAGCGCCCCTTGCTTGTCCCAGCTCCCGCCAACCTAGCGGTTCGAAAGCATGCAAATGCAAGTAGATAAATAGGGACCACTTCAGTGGGAAGGTAACAGCGTTCCGTGTCTAAGTCGCACTGGCCATGTGACCATGGAAAATTGTCTTCGGACAAAACGCTGGCTCTATGGCTTGGAAACGGGGATGAGCATTGCCCCCTAGAGTCGGACACGACTGGACAAAAATTGCCAAGGGTAACCTTTAACCTTTAAAAGGGTAAATTCTTTGCTCTTTTAAATGACAGTGAACAGGGAATGGGCAAAATGCAACCTTACAGCTATCACCGGACTGGAGACCTCATCAGCGTGAGCCTTTTATACCCTGTGTTGAGAAGTATTAGAATCTGCAATCCAGCTGGAGGGTTGCACTTTGCCTGCCCTGATTGAAAGACATTTAAAGAGTACTGTGTTTAATCTCCGTGGGGGACATGCGTGGAATTGATCTGATCTTTGCAGGTCCAAAGACAGTTTATATATGAAGTTATTCTTGAGCAGACAGGCATAGAATTCCATTGTGCTTTTTATGACTAGTGGGAAAATGTCCAAATTGGTAAGAATCTGCTCTGGGCCTTTCCCTTTTATATTTCAGCCACGCTCCCCATAAGCTTTGTACGCTTTTCACTCCTGGGAAGCAGCCCTCAGAGACGTTTTTCAATTTGGAATTTGGCTTCTGGCCTGAAAAAAATGTTTCTCGCCTATAGGGTAAGGCAAGAACCTGGATTAGGGCCAGTTCTACACTACAGATGGCAAGAAGAGGGAATTGCTCTCCAGTAGCCACAGCAGGAGCTTTTCACACCTCACCCCTTAGGTTGCAAATCAGCTTGCTTTGTTTTGGTCCATGGAAGGGAAGCACAGTAGGACTGTTCAGTCACGAAGGCCTGCCAGAACCCTGCCCCTGGAACCCTGACCGATTTCAGCTTCCTGAGCTGGCCTTTCTCGTGTGTAATCTGGCCCATACGGGATGGATTTGAAAGAGGCCATGGTGCTTCCAGCTTGCAGAACAGCCGAGGGTCTAAAGAAATAGGAACAAGAGGAGGAGACCAGTGAGAGGCCAAGCATAGTAATCGGCAAAGGACCCTATGAGGTGGATGAGAAAAGTGGAGAAGACTTGAAAATCAGGACTTTTAACATCTGAAATGGATGGAGAATATATTGGTGTGGAATCTTAGCTGGAATAGTTGCCTAATTTGCGGGAAATGATGAGCTTAGCTACAGCATTCTTCATCATTAAACTAGCTACGGGTGGCCTCCTGTATTAAGGGCGTCTGCGTCTGGTTATTTGAAATGCATTCCTTGCCAGCGCTGCTCAGACAAATAACAAATCTCAGTGCTCCAAATAGGGTAGGCAAATCCTGGGCATTTAATATGACAAAAATGTTTGGTTTTGGACATCTTAGACTATCTTTCTGGGTTCTTTGTGAAACAGTCGCCATGGGGAAGGTGTTGTGCATTGTTTTTACTGAAGGAAGATTAACCTTGAGCCAGAGTGAATGAATGCTGGCGAAAAAGACACACCTCCATTTGGTCCCCCCTATTATTTTTTTTTTACTTTGGGAGGTTGAAGTTTGCCAATTGATTGGTTGGTTGGGTCAATCGTTCGTTCGTTCATTCAGGGAAAATAGCTAGTATCTAAGAGGCAGGTGAATGACTTAGCTCGTTACAGTTTTCCCCCCCAAGAGTCAAGGTCCCTTTCTCTCTTGCAGCCCTTTGCTGGTGGAGGGTATCGCTTGGGAGCTGCACCGGAGGAGGAATCTGCTTATGTTGCAGGAGAGATGAGACAGAATGCAGCCCAGGATGTGAGTACTTCTGGGTTGGAACCCTTCTTTCAAGATTCCTGTTCTTGTGACCTGACTGGGTTTTCTCTCTGGCATCTCCAGGATAAAACTCTCACACAGTAGAACTGGAAAGGGCCTCTTTCAGCCTGAGACCTTGGACAGCTGCTGCCTGTTAGAATGGATAACGTATTAGCTAATTCAACTGTAACAATACATGTAAGGAAGCTGCCTATATTCAGAGATACCTTACTTGCAGATGTGAATTAAAATCTTGGCAGCGCTAAATTGCATCTTCAAGCTGTTTCCCTCCCTGCAGAATATGAAACGTGTTGAACCGAAAGGAGGGAAGGCAGAGGGGAACTCACCGTGGAGAAGAAGCAAACCTTGCCTTGGCCATTTCTCCCTGCCAGAGTCTTATCTACGGAAGCTGGTTTCCATTACAGTGGTTCCCAGTCTTGGGTCCCCTAAAATACCCCAAAGCCCTCACCACTAGCTGTCCTGGCCAGAATTTCTAGTACCAGCCATAAAATGTAGCCACGTCCACAGGGACCCTGGCAAAAGCGAAGTTGGGGAAGTAGAATTTTTAAAGAACAGTTTTTAACACATTCGTTTCTTGGATGTTTGGGCAGGGGATGAGACAGCATTGGTGTGTCTGCAGTTTTGGCCTCACCTCCTTTTAACTTCGGCCCCAGCATGTTGCTTTCTGGCCCCAAAGTTCTGCCAATTGTGGGAACCATGTTTTCTGCTTTTTTCAGGTGCATGTTGTCCTGAAGCTCTGGAAGAGTGGGTTCAGCCTGGACAACGGGGAGCTGAGGAGCTATCAGGACCCCTCCAACTCCCAGTTCCTGGAATCCATCCGCAGGGGGTAAGGAGGGGTGTGTGCGTGCGTGCGCGTGTGTGTGTGTGTGTGCACCGAGCAGGGCCTAGTTAGCAGGCTCTACCAGACACACCTCAGGCATATGTTGGCTTTCTGGGTATTCTGCCTTCCTTCACGGATGAATGATGGTGCAGAAGAGGCTCGGCTTGGCTCCCGACATGACAAAAGGCAGTGGGGCTGGCCACTTCTCTGCCCAGGCCTCATCCTTAGGATGTGCTCCTTCTCTGTCATTTGCTAGAGAGGTTCCTGCAGAGCTTCGGCGACTGGCACGTGGTGGGCAGGTGAACCTGGACTTGGAGGACCATCGCGATGAAGATTTCGTGAAACCCAAAGGCACTTTTAGGGCTTTTACTGGAGAAGGACAGAAGCTGGGCAGGTGAGTGGACTATGCGCAGAGAAACCTCCCCTTGTGACTGCAACCGGCTGTGTTGGCCTCTAGCCCTCACCGTTTCAGAGAGACCAGCATGCAAAAATCTAGGCCACCTAGCATAACGAGCACCGCCTCGCATAACGAGCACACCGCTTAACGATGAATCCGCATAACGATGCGGA